AACCAAAAAGATATTAAGATATTTATGATGAAACAGGGGAGAAAGCATTTCAGTTCTGGGAAACTGTAAATGCAAAGATCCTGAGACAAGAAAGATCTGTGTGAAAACCTAAAGCCCACTATAGTTTCAGCACAGCGGGTGAGGAGAGAGCTGTGAACTGGGATGGGAGAGGAAGCAGTTTCCAGAACCCGAGCTTCCTGGAAGCTGAGTAGAAAGGTCAGAGCCACAAGCCCCACTCATGAGTCTGATGTGGGTTTGGGGGAGTAGGAGATAATCATACACTTCAGAACATACAGCAAAATAAGGATAAACATGGCCCTCTGCTGTAGATTTGACTCTTACAAACAACAAATTGCAAAGGTTCTCCATTTCCAACTTTTTTTGGAGGAGTTCTTGTTAGAAGTTCCTTCCTGACATAGCATGATTGTCTATAAGGTAAACTGAGATGGCTATGAATGACCCATGTGCCTCTCTATGACACAGTGTCTTACTGTAGGATCTTATTTACTCTGTCATGTTTATTAAAATAAAGCCAGCCACCCTGACTTTATTACGGGGAAAAGTATTCACAGTTTGGTTTCCATGCCTTTGCAGCTGCATTAAAACTCTTTGTATAACTGTTTAAATTTTTAGCAGCTCTTAAGTGGATGGAAGGTATGCAGTTTCAAGTTTGTGAATTCAGGAGAAGCATTGATTTATTTTAGCAATTTAAATTCGGAATTTAATTTCCATCTTCCTTGTTCCTTTCTCTTTGTTCTCTGCCTATTTTTTTTTTCTCTCTCTCTTTCTCTCTCTCTCTCACACACACATACACACACATACACCCCACACACAGGACTTTTCTGTAGCTAAGGAACCCTAAATAAAATAGGTTTAAAACAAGTTTTGAGACTTTTAAGATAATCTCCATGGTGTGGTGCTGATGACATACTCCAGGCCATTTGGCAAGCTGCTATGTAGTAAGTACATAGCAGGATATTTGTACCAGTTAAGCAAAGTATGGTGTGGACAGCCAGAACAGAAACAAATAGAATTTATTTCTGTAGACTAGAAGAAATTAGCAATTGAAAACCTCAATATGTTCAAGTTTACAAGTGAAATAATAGAATCAAAGAATTCCGTCTCTTTGAGTCGTATTTCTCCATCTCTGAGTGATAGCTCCACTGAGCTGGTTGTACTGGACGGTCTCTGGGAGGGAACCTGAGCCTGTGGCCTGAGCAGCACAGGTCTGGCACATTACAGTGACGGGGACTTGTAGCGGGCATTTAGGCTGCCAGCTTCCATGTTACCTTCCTAACAGCATCCTCAATTTACTGGAAAAATATATTGCCCATTGCTTGTAGTCATAGTGGTAGGACCAGGGCCTCACCCTCCTATGCTCTGATTCAGAACAAGGGAAAAAAAGACACAGAGCTAACCTTGGCCATCCAGTGTATTTTGCAGGGACTCTGAACTTGGGAGACCGTCCTACCCCAGGATGGAAAACTCATGGACGCCATTCACTATGTCAGTAGTGATGCTGTGGTGGCTTGGTTAAGTTTATCTGTGAACCAGTTGCTGTGCTTTCTGCTTTTTGGTTCTCTGGAGCTCTCCTGGTGCCTGCTTCTCCAAGCCTGCTTCCTTGTATCTCAGTGGTTCTGTGAGCTTCTCATATTATTCCAATCATTTTCTTTTGTTTAAGGTAGCTAGACTCTGTTTCTGTTGTTTACTCTCAAAGGTCTTAATTGAGATGGTATAATAAATGTTCCTAGGGTGAATAAATTCACACAATAAAGATATGCCCAGGTTATGTTTCAAGTCTTTTATGACTTTTCCTTTCTTTCATCATAATCAGAGAATTGAACTGCATCTGTAGATGAATTTTCTTGAAGCTTGGATAAATATGAAAGTTTTATATGACGTCTTTTAGAGGAAAAACTGTTTTCTAAAAATCATTGAAACTTTTAAATATATGGTTATTGTATGGTAGTTAGAAAATTCAGACAAGCATAAAAAATATAAGCATATATACAAACATCTTATATAATAGATATCAATGGAAAAAATCATGTTTAATACCTAAGCACATCTCATGGGAGGGATAATATAGTTTATGTGGTGAATCCCTCATGATTAAACATTTGAGTTCTCTCCAAGTATCCACTCTTATAAAAGATCCTGCAGTGAACATTCTTTTAGGTAAATCCTTGTATGCATAAGCTTATTACCCTTAGGATACATTTCAAGAAATAGAATTGTTGGGCCAAAGACTTTGCATGTTTATAATGCTTTTACTCACAAAAATTGCCCTTAAAAAAGTTGATTAAAAAATAAATAGCCCTTTTATTGTAGCTCTTCCTCAGCAAAAACAAAACAAACAAAAACAAAGAATGGTCTATGTTTCAAGATATGCATCAAGGCAGCCCCATTTAAAACCACATTGCATTAAGTGAGGTGCTTCAACTGATCAATGCAACTAAATAGACACAGATGGTGCAAGAAGAATGTATTAATATCCCTGTATGTTCAATACTACCAGACATTATACCTGCTCTCTCCATTCATATATTTAAAGCTAATTTATAGAGTCCCTACTGTGTGCCTGGGACAGTTTGAGGGGCTGGGAGCGTGTGAAAGGAGGCAAGATCTAGTTTCCAGCTTTGAGGCATTCACAATCCAGTGAGCCATGCAGACCCAGAAATAACTCGCAGACAACAGAGTGTGGTGGCCACTGTCATAGGGGAGGCATAAACACAGCGCACTGAGAGCAGCAAGCCAGAAGCAGTTTCAACTTGTGTGTTTAAAGTCTCCTTGTTTCCTTCTCTCTCACTAGAAAGCACTATTTAAAATGAGAATGTGAGATACACCTTGAGAAATACAAACAGAGAGTTCTGTGGAAGTAAAGAAGGGAGAGATCAAGAGCAACTCCAGGGAGTCCATGGGCATTGGCGAGTGGTAGGACTGGCTTCATGTGGAGGGGCATTCCAGAAGAGAGGGCACTGTGAGCACTGATACAGAGCAGAAAAGAAAAGAATGCATTTGGAGAACACGCTGCTTGAAATAGAAGGTTTGGGTATAGTAAGGTGGCTGAAAGTCTGGGCTACCTGTATTGACGTTAATAACAAGATAAAGCATCTGTGTGTAACTCCACGTGTAAAAGAGAAGCATTGTATTAGTTACCTGTCACTGCTGCAATGAATTACCACTTGGCAGCTTAAAACAGCACAAATTCATTATCTTACAATTCTCTAGATCGGAAATCTGACATCTATCTCACTGTGCTAATATCATGGTGTCTGTGGAGCTGCCTTTTTTTTCTGGGGAGACTGTGTTTCCTTGTCTTCCCCAGCTCCTAGAGACCATCTGCATTCCTTGGCTCATGGCCCCTTCTTCTGTCTTCAAAGCCAGTGACAGCTGGTTGAGTACTTCTCTTGTCGCCTCACTCTGACCTCCTCTTTCACCTCTCTCTTTTACATTTAAGAATATTTTTAAGGGTCCTCTTGTATAATACACAATAATCTTCCCATCTCAAAATCCTCAATCACATCTGCGAAGTCCCTTTTGCCATGCAAGATAACATAACCACAGGTTCTAGGGTTTAGGACATGGATATTTTTGGGGAGCTGCTTTCTACCTTCCACAGGCTTTAGGGTTTTAGAGTAATGAGTGACACTGTTGGGAATCTATCTGCCTGAGGAAGACCATGCTGACATCAATGAAGAGGTTAGACTGGAGGAGGAGAAGACCAGCTAGAAAATCTTTGATGATTACCAAAAAAATATAATTAGGCCCAGTGGAAATAAGAAGGAAGGGACAGATGCAAATAACAGAGTGGGAATAGACTCTCCAGGAACTGGCCAATGTTTGAGTAGAGAGTGGGGAGGAGGGAAACAGAGGTGGAGGTGTCAAAGATGATTCAGGCTTTGAGCAACCATGAGTGAGGATCATGGCTTCATTAACTGAGGTGTTTGGTTTAGGGAAGTGGAGTAGTGGTAAATTCAAGTTTAGATCTTGTTGTCATTAGAGAAATAATCTACAGCTCCTCTACTTTTAAATTTTTCATCGGGATATGCAATAAATATATATTCAAGACATTCAGGCCAGGGAGAGAACCAATAGGTGGAAATGCCTGAGAGATATAGAGACAAAAACTCGGCACAAAGATGGTGAAGAAGAGACACATAGAATGGGGATGCAGATGGGAGGAGAAGGAAAGAGGAGAGAAAAACGTGTAAGAGTAAGATGGGGAAGAAATATAGACCATGAGGATGATGGAAGGACCTAACAAAATAGAGGGAAAATGAGAGACAAGGAATATCAACAGAGAGAAACTAAGAAAGTGATCAACTCAGAGGTTTCTAGCATGAATAAGTTGGCCAATTTAAATTTCCAGTTCACTTGAGATGTGCTCACAATTTAAGATTGTCTTGGCAGATTTATTTATTTCCACAAGTTAATCACTGTCCACAGCTTTTCTGTTTTGTTTAGGTTCCAGGACGCCTCAGTGACCCTTGAGGGGGTGAATTATTCACCCAGTATCCCTTTTGGCTCCCTGCCTGCCTCTGTGAAGGAAGGTTCTGCCCTCCCCTGTCCTTCCCAACATGCCTAGTCTAACTCTTGAATTATTTTATCCTTGGAATTTGAGGCCTTTGTCACATGTGTTGAGGAAAAATGTCTTTCACTCTGTCACAGTCCTTTACAGATGACGTGACTCACTGACACACCAGCACCACACAGGTGTGAGTTTACGCCCGTGTTACAGATGGGAACATTGAGGCTTGACTCTTGTTTAATTACAAGCTCAAGGTCACAGATCATGAAAGCTGGGAAGAACAGGCTAAGACAGCAAATAGTGGGCTAACAGTTTGGGCAGGATCATTTAAGAAGACGTCAGGCAAATGGAATCACTGCCTCTGGAAAACTTAAGTCTTATAGCCAAGGTGCTACGAAGCTCACTCTGAACCCTCCTCCCAAACTAACCCTGCGTTGACAGAGACAAAGGCATAAGAAGGAAGTAAACTATACAGGGGTAGGATTTCCCCTGGCACAGACACCACACGCTTTCATATTTACTGTCTTTGAATAGAGGAAGTGAGTACTGAGAGAGGCTGACCAACTTGTCCAAGGTCACCCAGGAGCCTGCAGTGATCCCAGGGCTCCCTCCTGCCCTCCATCAGATGGGCAGCGTTCCGGCCAGGGAGGACGCGTGCTGGCCAGCCCTGAGCGGGTGAGATCGCTCCAGCCCGCCTCTGCGCCCACTCCCCTGTGCGCCCTGCTGCCAGAAAGGCACCCCCGCCGTTCCTGGCGCCCAGTGGGGGCGGCAGTGGGGACTGCCGGGGCTGGGGGCTTGTTGAGCTCAGGGAGTTCGGCTCGGTCGGGGAGAAGGACGATGCGCGGCGAGCTCAGGTGATCCGGGGCTGGGGTCCTGCGCCCGCAGCCCCTGGCCCACGCCTCGCGCCCGCCGGCTCCCCAGCGCGGGGGCTGGAGCCCGCACCCGAGGGGGCGGCGGGGAGGGCGCAGGCAGCGGCTGGGAGTGCAGCGGCAGCGGCGGCGGCAGAAGCTCGGCTCCGCGGCTGGGGGTGGCCGCTCGGATCTGCCAGGGCGCCTCGCTCCCTCGCCTCCGGCAGCGGGTATGTGCAGCAAGTGCGCCGGGGGTCGGGACCGCAGGAGCCTACAGGTGCCAGCGGGGACGCGGCGGGGGCGGGGCAGCCTGACAGGGTTGGGGGTTTGGGGATTCTCGACTCGGGAGACCCGGCTTTGCGGCAGGGTGGGCTGTGTGCGTGGCGGCTCAGGGCGTAGGTGGGCTGGCTGGTTGTATACGACGTGTTTCCAGCGTGGGTCCACTGTAGGCTTGGGGCTGGTGCTTTGCACTTGTGTATGTAAGTACTTGTGAAACTGCATGTGTGCTCACTGACTATACAAGGAAGGTTGTGTATGGAAAGATTTGTGTTTGTGCCTGTGTGTAAGAAAGGGCATAGGCTGTGCATCCATAGCCAAGTGTGTAACTGGATGTGTGTGAACTCTATGACTGGTCCTTGATGTACAGAGCAGAGAGTGTGCTGTGTGTGCGTGTGTGTGTGTGTGTGTGTGTGTGTGTGTGAGAGAGAGAGAGAGAGAGTATGTGTGTCTTGAGCATCCACCTGGTTGTGTGTACGTGGCATGAGTGTGTGGGTACGCTGTGCTGCATAAAACATTGGCGGTCACTGCTGGTACTCACAACCATCCTGCAGTTGCCTTTCACAGAATCCCAATCCCAATTTCAGATGCATTTCCTCACAGCTTGCTACCCCGTGTGGCCCTGTGCTGTTAGTTGCCTTTGGGAGAAGTGGCTGTTGATACAAGGAAGTGGCAGCTGGCAGAGGTGAAAAAGTGGTAGGCATGAGCTTGTCTTCCTCGAGTTCAATGTTAAGAGAAAATCTTGGCTTGATTTCCATTTGGTCCAATCAAATGAAGAAATGGAATGTTTCTTAGGGTACAGGTTTGGCATGAACCAAAGGTGACTTTTGATGGAAAGATACTGATTCAAGTTTGCCTTCCCTGTCTTGTATTGCCGGGATGGATTCTGAGGGCCTTAAAGCTGTGGGTGACTGTGGCGGGCAGTAGTGGATATTTAACCTGTCCCCTGAGTGGAACTTCAGCATCAGTGACCAAGGGAGATGTTGCTGTGTGCTCCTGGTGAGCCAGATTGTGGAGGAAAAGGACGTGGGTGATGGATGCGGCGCCCTGAAAACAAGAAAAAGTCAGGGCAGGGATGAGACCTGCAGAGTTCTGAAGAGCAGCTCTCACCTAGGAAATATACAAGTGTCAGGAAAAAAATTAGTAAAAAGTAAAGAGGTTGTGCAGCATTAGCAAGTGATTTCTTAATCATGTTTAGTTTCCTCATCCATTTTCATCTTAAATTCTCTCTTATGTTTGCATCATTCCCTCCTATGGGAAATAGCCTTATTATAATTATTATTAGAGAGGAGAGCCACAGTCATTATTTAAATGCCAGGAGAACAGTAGCCCACTGAAGCTAGCAGGAGCTTCAGAGAGAGTTTAGTCCAGCTTATATGGAGCAGAAGGAGGCCTGAGGTCCCAGAGGACAGTCATGTCTCTGGTTCCTCTGAGTTATCTGGATTTCAGTCCTGATGCTGTTCCTTCTAGGGCCACCGCATCCTTGTAGCCAACAAATCAAATGTGTAGCATTTCACCCTGCTCTTCTGGGCTTCCCTGATTCTATTCATCTCCTCATCTCCTCCCCCAGCTTCACAGACTAAAGGACAGCACCTGAAACCCAGCATAAGCATCCTGCTACTCCAAACCACCTCCTGATTTTTCCGCCTGTTATAGAGCACCACCGTCCTCTACATCACCCAGTCTGGGAACTGAAGTCACCTTTCTATTCCTCCTCTTCCTTCATCACTAGCTGCCATTGTTTTCATCAACAGGCAGGTTTTTTCTGTTTTCTCTCAATACCTCTTAAATCTATTACGTTTTTCATTCCCACTGCCACTACCTTACCAAGTAAGACCTTTATTTGGGAGTTTCTGGAGATAGGAACAGATATAGACTGTGATCACTGAAAAAATGCAAAGCAAATACATGAAGTCAACACCCTTCATATTATCACTGTCTGATGAACAAGTAAAATCAGGTTTTTGGAAGAATCTGGATGATTGCTGTGACATCATTATGTGACATAGATCATTTGTTTGCTTTTCTCAGTTTTGGTTTCTTCACCTGTGAAATGTGATTAATGATTTCAGCAAGAATCTAGTCACTAGATCATTTCCAAGTATTCTCTCAATGCTAGAATTCTCTGATTGCCATTGATATTCTTGGTTTTAGCAAGAAACATTTCATCTAATTTTTTATGGTTACCTTCTGATATGTAACCAGCCAATTTGTTGATATGAAAATTCAGTTTGTTGTTAGGAAAAGCAAACTGGCAAAGAGGGAAAGAGTGAAATACACTCTTGACTTCAGTTTGAGGTTGAAGCTCAACTGCATACATGAAGCCTTAGAGTTGGAGGAGTTTTAGAGGTTACCCATTCTCACCTCCCATCGAGTACCAGAATCTCCCATATCATTGCCTTTTGAATATTGAAAAATGTGTCCAGCCTTATTAAAGTAACGTCACACCACGCAGAAACTCAAGATTTCTTGGTACTATTGGAATTTTGAGGTGGATCATTTGTTGTTGTGAGGACCGTGCTCTGCATCATAGAATGTTCAGCAGCATCTCTGGCATTTATTAGATGCCAGTAGCAACCCCTACTTGTGACAACCAGAAATGTCTCTAGGCATTGCTAAATGTCCTGTGAGGATGGGTGGGAAAGTACCCCTCCTCCCACCAGTTCAGTGGAAAACCACTGCTGTAATTCAAGCACGAGTCTTATAACCTTGCACAGAAACATCTTACAACAAAGTTTTTAAATAAATAGATGAATTGCTGTGTTGCTAGCTGTCTTCCCACTCCCTTCCAACTTTATCACCCTCACACATTTACCTTTATCCCTCCCGATTTTCACTGCCTTGTTGCTCTGCCTGGAAATGCTCAACATGCTGCTGAAGGCTGTGGAGCATTTGGGAGACAATATAATAATAATCTTAATAGCTCACATTAATCTAGATCTTGATATGTGCCAGACACTGTTCTAAATGCTTAATGAAAATGATCTTATTTAATCTTCATTAAGAATCCTATGAAAGAGATATTTCTGTTACTCTCATTTTAGCAATGAGGTAACTCAAACAGAGAGGTAAAATAATGTACCTAAGTTCTCTCAGCTATGGAGTAGTGAAGCTGGGGTGGGATCATGTGTCATCTGATTCCAGAGTCCATGCTCTGAACCTCCATACTATAATGCCTTGCATGAATGGGATCTTGGTGTTACAGGGTGGAAAAGAGCTTAGATATCCCCAAGCCCGGCTGTAGATCCAAGTCTGCCTTTAGAAAACAGGAGAGACTATGAGTTTGTGAGTTGTGTTCAGCTGAAATGTGATTTCTCTCATTTTTATTTCTTCTCACCCTGTCTGTTATTCAGAAATAGCTCAAAGGCATATGTAGAGTGAGAGGGGTGGTGGCAGGGTTGGGTAATAGAAAAGTGGGAAGGTGCAGGGGAAAGGAAGGATGGAGAAAGGAACAATGCATGATACCTTTGTTTCTCCATTAACACCTCCTTACCACCAATCTAAACTTTAGATATTTCTTCTCTTGTCGAAATTAAAGTTGCCGTATTTTAAATCAACTCTCTCGTTACACTTCTTGGTTTGCCCTTTGATTCTTTCATTCTGCATGCTGTTGACTTTTTATACTATTAAGACAGTAGAAAGTGGTACACATTTGAACAATGGGAAATACAATGTAAATGGCTATCAAATAGACTTGTTCATAGGGCTAGCCTTAAATATAGTCAGAGTAAGAATGACTGCCAATTACCAATTACTAATATGCTTGCAAATCTAAGGCATGTCTAAGAAGGTTGACTATTTTTTTAAGACCCTATATCAACAAATTCACCGGTTTGGTAACTGTCAGTGAATAAATGATAAAACACTGGCTTTACCAGCCTCATGATTGGGTTAAGATAGTAGTTCTCAAACTTTCATGAGCAACAGAATAATTGAATTATTTGTAACACAAAGGATAAATGCCTGAGGGGATGAATACCCCATTTTACATGATCATGAAGTGATTATTATACATTGCATACCTATATCAAAACATCTCATGTACCCTACGTACCCACAAAAATTATATATTAAAAAATATTTTAAAAACATGGGTTGCTGGTAGGTTGAGGTCCGAGGTTTCTAATTTCTAATAGGATCGCAGATGATAATGTTGCTGCTGGTTGAGACCACTATTTGAGAACCATTGGATTAAGACCTAAGGAATGAAAATGAAACTCAAAATCCAGCCACCTGGATTTTTAGAATGAAAATATGTCTGATTTTAATATAACTAAACACTTGGATTAATGAGAATCAATGAGTGGAACAAGACTGAAAGGTCAATAATTACTAGGGATGAATTGACATTTCTTGCTAAGCATCTAAACTTTGCCTCTTGTTTCAAGTTTCAGAAAAACCTTTGCGTTTTCTCAGCAATTGTACTTCTAGGTTGGATTAATTCTGGTCTTAGATCTTGTCATATTCCTTGCCTCCACCTACCCCCACTGCTACCTTAATTTGGATGATATCCTCATTACTCACAGAGTAATCCAAATCAAAAGTCCTTTAATATCTTGTATACTGCTAGGTAAATTCTGAAGAGACTCTTTAAGTTAAGAAAGCTATATTATCTGTCCATCCAGTTTGTATTTCTTTCCTTTCAAATGCACATTAGCACTATGGAGAAATCCAACAGAAATGTAAGTCTGCACATTTATGTATAACTAATTAAATTTTTGATGTCTCAATCAGAAAGTTTCTTTTAAAACCAAATTTCAAACTCAATCAACTCCTTCCTTCTTCTTGAATATCAGCATCTATTTTTTTTTATGATTACGCATTCCTCATCCAAGCAAGGTGTCTCTAAGTACTTGCTCAGAAAGATCTGTTCTGAAACTCAGATTTGACATAATGTTTATTGAATATTTTATAGACTGTGGAGTTTCATACATCTAGTCTTCCTTGATTTTTC